CCCCCCCCCCCCCCCCCCCGCGCCCGGCCACATTCTCTCCACCTTCCCAATCCTGACCCCGGAAGGACTCCGCCTCCCGCGGCCAGGCTGGGGCTTAACGCCGGGTTGAGGCGGGGAAGCGGGTGTGGGCCGGCTGCACCTGGTTGGGAGCGCCAGGTACGCGGGTGGAGGAGCGGGCCCGAGCGGAGAGTGGGCTCGCGATGCCCTCGGGACAGAGGGCTCGGCGGGCCTCCAGCGCCGGCGTTAGCAGTCCGAGCTCGGAGTGTGGGGTGGAGCCACAGCAAGCAGGAGGGCCCGCACGCCACGGAGGCCCGCAGCGGGAGCGCGGGGTCAGGGTGGGCTCGCCACCCAGCTGAGCCCGAGTGAGGCGCTGGACGGCCAAGCCCGGAGGGAGCCCCTTCTCTGGTCCTCTTGGTAGAGAAAAAGGAAGAGCGCAGAGGAGAGCGCGGCGAGGGGCTGGCGGGCGGGGCGAGCGAGGAGGTGGGGGTGTGGTCCGAGGTTTGGTGCAGGTGGTTTTGAACCGGGAGTGGTTTTTGGATATGGAAGGTTATGCTTCTTTGAAGGTGCTTTCAAAGAATAATTTAGCATTGGGAAGATGGTGACGTTCAGGTCCCTTCTGTAATTAAAGTTGTTAAACATCTCTTTTCTGGAAGGAGGATTCCAAGAGATGTTCTTGCACAGGCCTTTAAAGCCTTTATTATTATTATTTTATTACTATTGCACCTAAGCATTTTTGCTGTGCGTAAAATGACCTCTCAGAGTTCGGTTGTGTAGATTTATGCTTCACGTGAAAAATTTTTTGGTGTTTCAGACTTTCATTCTTGCTTGGATTATAAAGTCAAAGTTGTAGAATAGACTTAGGATCTTTAAGAAGCAGACTCTATTTATGCCACTTCTTTTTGATTTCCCAGTGTTGGAATGGAGAGAAGCAAGTAATAGTACACAGCACAATATTGTTGGTGATGTTTTAGACCCCCTCTACAAATTTGAAAAATCATTTTGCCTTCATGTTTATTTTAATTATACTTCTGAGAGCAACTGAAGTGACTCACTTTTTAAAGTAATTCAGTTAATAATGATTAAGTTTGGAATCAGATTCCTCGATGATTTTAAATGAAAGGGAATGAGGTCGTTAGAATGCAAAAATAGAGATTTGTCAAAATTCTTTTAGGACAACCACTCTAGCAAATTGAAGTGTTTGCTTTATTTTCTTTCTCTTATGCTTAAAAATCTGGAATGCTCTATGATAGGAAAAATTTGGGTGAATTACTCTCTGGGTATTGTTTGTTTGTTTTTTGATGTAGTAGCATACATTGCTTAGTGATCCAGAATCTATTTAATTGGTAAAAATGTTTCTCAGAAAGAAAAATGTCAATTTTTAGGGGAAGGAAAACAGTTTTTTCACCTTTTTCAGTAGTATTTTTTAAAGTAATACAATTTTTAAAAAATCAAATATTACAGAAAGACTTAAGAAAAGCCATGGTTCCCTGCCCCCCCCCCCCAATCTTATTCTCCAGAGGACCATTTTTCACTTAACTATTTCCTCATGGTTTCTTCTGTATTCCTCCATTATATGTCTGTATCACAGTTTGTTGGCTGGAATAAACGTACTTCAATTAGTACTAATTATACTGAATCTAAAAGTTGTAATTAGAACATGGGTGGAGGGAATTAAATTTACACTGCAGTGTCACTAGTAAGGCTTAAGATAAGTGTCAGTACTGGTAACCTACCCTAATAGGTATTACTGTTTGATTTGAAAGGAAACCACTACTTAATCAGTGGTTTTGACACTTCTCTGAAAAAATGCAGGTATTAACAGAAGGGGGTAGCCTACTGGAGTCTAGAAAAACAGAGCACAGAGATAAATGCAGAAATAAAGTATAGCAAATAAGCTTTTATCAAGGGATTATTGGTAATTTTTATTTTCACTTTGGTAATATAGAGCACTATCCAAGGAAAAGAAATACTGAATTTGGTGGCATAAACATTCTGTTTACTAGAGATGCCTACTCCCTTGTGTACCAGAGAGAATTCCCAGGCTTTTTCTTGGCTTGAATAAAACATTTCTCAGGACCCTTCGATTTTGTGCTCACCAGGCAAAATTTTTGACTTAATTAATTTTTGACTAGTTCAGCTTCCCATGATCTTTTATTTCAGGGAGGGTATGTTTTGATAACATATGTAAGTATTCTGGTCACTGGATAGTGTATTTTTTTAAAATTATAAAATGAATAAATTTGTAAACTGATTTATACATCAATACTATGTGAATTTGTTTAGTATGTGTTCAATTGGATGCACTGATAAAATTGCATTTCTGGCTCTACAAAGCAGAGACACAGTCCCTGAACCATCATGTTTCAATCAGCTGCCTCCTTTGTAGACATCTCACTTTTCTTTGGTTAAAAAAGGAATAGCATGCATTAAAACAACATCAAAATTATATAGCATGTATGTGGCATTTTTTGAAGATTTTAAAAATGGGACAGGAGGAGAATAAATGCATGAGTTCTGAAATTTAGTCAGTGAAGTCTGAGTTTCACTTCTAGCTCCAGGAGTCTGTTCCAAATTCCATTTAGCAACCCTTCGCCCCCCTGTTAAATGAAGAAAATGAGTGGGAAGAAGTAGATTTTAAATTAATATCTAAAAGCTCATAAACTTTTATTTAACCAGAAAAGAGAAAATTTAGAACCTGCAATTTTCTAGGGAAAATTTACAACCTAAACTCAAAGTTTAAATCTAGCTTATTTTCTCTTTTGCTGCCTGGGTGATTAAAAAAATACGATTTCAGCTCAACTGTAATATGAATAATGTACTGCAAAAAAAACAAAAACAAAAACAAATCTAATAGAGTTAAATTTTCAATTTGTATCTTTTACTGGTAAAGTAACCAGAAATACCTGTTGCTAATGTGTTTTTATGTTTCATTTGATGACATTTAGAAGAGGAGTCATGTCAGAAGAAACAGTGAGAGAATCACAGTTTTCCTTGAAGACAGCGGCACTGAGAGTGTTTGATCTTCCTCTGTCTTGGTACTATTCTGTCTCCCAGGTAAACAGAAGAAGCAAACATGAAGTTGAATAAGTTTGTTGCTCAGAACATATTTTGTTTACAGTATTTCAATTTCAGTTGAGGTTTTTATATGGTATAGTGAAAATGTTTATTCCCACTCATGTTTTTTTTTTTTTTTTTAGCAGCTGCTGGGTACAGAATCAAACCCTGGACCTTGTTGTTATCAGCACCATGCTCTAACTAACTGAGCTAACTGGCTAGCCACAATGCTTATTAAAGTAGTTTAATACCTACATGGTTTCTATTTATTTCATGGGTTTTTTTTTTTGGTTATCATATTTATAACTAGAAATTATAAAAGGGGATTACATTGCTTAAAAATTTTTTTTTACTATCTTAAGTTCATTTACACATTCCATTAAAATTATTTTTAGTGGATGGTATTATTTCAATGGGCCTGTTATCACTATTACAAACCTTTTATTTTAATTTTACTGTGGTTAAGTACACAGATATAAAATTGACCATTTTAACCTTTTCTTGGCAGCTGGTAGGTACAGGGATCCGAACCCTTGACCTTGGTGTTATAACACTGTGCTCTAACCAACTAAGTTAACAGGCCAGCCCTCTATTTTTATATTTTTTGAGGAACTGCCATACTGTTTTCCACAGCAGCCGTACCATTCTACATTCCTGCCAACAGTGCACAATTTTTCCATATTTTTACCATCACTTGTTATTTTCTGTTTTATTGGTAGTAGCCATCCTAATGACTGCGAGGTGGTATCTCATTGTGGTTTTGATTTGCATTTCCCTGATGATTAGTGGTGTTCAGCATCTTTTCACGTGCTTGTAGACCATATAGATCTATTTCAGTCCTTTGCCCATTTTTGAATCAGGTTTTTTTGTTGTTGAGTTTTAGGCATTCTCTATATATTCTGTATATTAATCCTTTATCAGATACATGATTTCAAATTATTTTCTATTCTATGGGTTGCTTTTTTACTCTGTTGATAATCTTTTGATACATCCTCTACTCTCAGTCGTGATACTTAGTATCCGAAACTCATTCCATACCACAGAATGCACTAAGGTGGTTCAGTAAACTACAACCCACAGACCAAATCAAGGCCACAACCTTTTTTGTAACTAAAGTTTTGTTGGAACACAGGCACACTTATTTGTTAATGTATTGTCTGTGACTGCTTTTGTGCTATTACAATAGAATTAAGTGGTTGTAGTAGAGACCATATGTTTCATAAAGCTTAAAATATTTAGTAACTGGTCCTTATAGAAAAAGTTTGCTGACCCCTGAACTAAGAAAGTGGGCTGTAGTTTGAATAGCATCAAAGGACCAAGAACGATTCATGTAGGAAAAGCTCAGAGTTCTTGTTTAGGCAGTTCTGTAACTTTAGAATTGGATTGATTTTTCGTGAATAAAAGACATGTGAGATTTTTTGTTCATTAGTTCAGCCTCCAAAAATTGACAATCCATGTTGGATGTGATTCAGTTACAGTTAGTTGCACGGTGAGATATATGTCATTAGTATAACTGAAGTAATTTCAACAGATGATGTATAACATGCATGGATCTAAACACATCTTCCATAATGCATTTTGGTGTTTGCTCCACCACTGTGGAATTGTATGATTGTGGGAAAGTTACTAAACCTGTCAATTTTTATCATCTATCAAATGGACGTAAAACACAGCGCCTGGCACACAGTAAATATGAGTGAGCATGCCAATAAATGTTAGCTCCTGTTCATTTTTCTGTGTCATTTACTTAAGGAATACTACATTTTCTAAGTACTTTTTTCTTTCATTTAATGAATGTGTACTCTAAACAAAATATTTAAGTCTCTTACCTTGTGGTTTTCTTAAGGTTTACTTTGGTGTACTGCTATGTACCATGTTAATACAAGAAGGTTCTGTTTTTCAGTTGAGAACTACAACAAGAAGTGGCATTTAGTTTAGTCTATTCTCCAAATTCAGAATGTTCAGTAAGAAAGACTAAGAATTAACTAAGCATTTAAAAATAAAATCTGTTTAAGTGCAGTGTGGTATCTTGGATTAGATCCTGGAATAGAAAAGGGATACTTGTGGAAAAACCACTGAAATCAGAATAAAGTCTGTAGTTTAGTTAATAATATTGTGTTAATGTTAATTTCTTTTTTTTTTTTTTTTTTAACCTTTTTGTCTTTTTTCGTGTCCGGCAACGGATCGCAACCCTCAGTGTCGCGCCCGTACCGGACCGGCAACGGGATCGCAACCCTCGGTGTCGCGCCCGCACCTTGCTCAGCCAGTGAGCGGGAACCTGTCTGTATGTGGGATCCGAACCCTCGGCGGGAGCGCCGCCACGCTCCCAAGCGGCGCACTGTAGCAGTGCGCCACCATGCCGGCCCCGTAATTTCTTACTTTTTACAAATGTACCATGGTTATGTAAGATGTAATGTTAGGGAAATTCTTAGTGATGGTTATATGAGAACTCTCTTTCTGATCTTTGCAACTTTTCTGTAAGTCTAAAATTATTCCAAAATAAAATGTTTATTAAAAAAATTAAAATCTGTAAGGCAAGGTTAAATAATAAGAGCTAACATTTATTTTTGAATGCCTACTGTGAGACATTATTATTATAAAGTTATCATCATTCACAGCAACAGTGTGAGGAAGAAATTGTTCCCATTTGACAGATGATGAAACTGGAATTTGGCGGCATAGAGAGACTTGTCCAGAGTTTACAGTTTGCATGCAGTGTGTTCTAGTTATCAGAGGAATTTATTAAAAAATACATTTATTAAGCATCTTCTCTGTTCCAGTCACGATACAAAGTGGCAAGCAAGATCTAATAGTCCCTTCCCCATACAGAGCTTAGAGCCTGGTAGGGAACAAGCTGCCCCCCTCCCCTGTACCCATCCCCCCCACAAAAAAGATGTGGTCAGTATTGTGTTAGGGGAGTAGATCAACTTAGTTCTAATAAGTTTATGCTTAGTAAAGGGAAGAGACTAGTGTGTGACTAAATAACTATTCTGTGTCTTCAGAGAACATTAGATAAGGGGAAAAACTTGACAAGAATTAAACAGTGACACCAGATTGTAGAGTGGGGAGAACTGTGAAATCCGAGCATGAGGAACAATGTCTTATTCCTTTCTTTGTGTTCTCACTGCCTGACCCTTAAATTGATGCTCAATTAATGTTGAATGACTAGGACATATGTCTAGTCTTCATTCTGTTTGGAGGTAAGAAAATGGACTATATCACCTGAAAAAGCCCCTCTGAGTTTTGTGATTCAGTGATATTTATATCCATTGTTGCAGGCAATGAGACAGGAAATAATTGACTATCCTCTGAAGGAAGAAAAAAAACAAAAATAAGAAGTGATAGGAGAAATATTAGACTTTCAAACCTTGTGTGGGCTAGATTACTTATGATAAACATCTTTCTCTGGAAAATTTGTTACTTATTTTTGTCATGGAAGAGGTTTCTTTTTTCATGAGATGAGAACTGTAAACTTTAATGGATCTTTTATATTAAAGTATTACATATCATGTAAATGGAACTTAGATCTTAATAAAAATGAATTGATTTATATTATTCTGTATTTGAATTTACGTTAGTAACATACATTATATGTGTTACAGAGTAGTTTTAACATTGTATTCATGTCTCCTAAGCTTTCTAAGCTCAGTGCCTAGGATACAGTAAACCTGCCTATTTAAGAATACATCATCACTTAGCTGTGACTGGGCCTGTGTTAATAGATTCTTTTCTTTAGTGGAGGTCTTGATTATGCTGTCCTTCATTCACTTGTGCATTAAATACTAATATATTTAAATTTGATCCAAGAAGAATATTTTCTTTTTAATAATGAGGTTATGCCAATATATAAAATAAAATGAAAAAACTAAGATGATCCTAATAATACTGCTATTTTTTTTTTTTTTCCTTTTTGTCTTTTTGCGTGTCCGGCAACGGACCGCAACCCTCAGTGTCGCGCCTGTACCAGACCGGGACCGGCAATGGGATCGCAACCCTCGGTGCTGCGCCCGCCCCTCGCTCAGCCAGTGAGCGGGAACCGGTCTGTATGTGGGATCCGAACCCTCGGCGGGAGCGCTGCTGCACTCCCAAGCGGCGCACTGTAGCAGTGCGCCACCAGGCCGGCCCATAATACTGCTATTTTTAAAATATTTATTTATTTATTTACTTATGTGATGGCCAGCTGGTACAGGGATCAAACCCTGGGTCTTGGTGTTATCAGCACCATGCTCTAACTAACAGCTAACTGGCCAGCCCACTACTGCTATTTTTATCTTTATTTTTTATTTTTGGCAGCTGGCCAGTAAGTCAATAGTGCTATTTTTATTTATTTATTTATTTATTTATTTTGGGGGTTACCTTTATTTATTTATTTATTTATTTTTATTGAATCATAAATGATTATACATATTTTGGGGGTTCAACCTTAATGTATGTTGAGCAAATCAATATTATTAGCATATATATTATCACAAATCGTACTTATTCTTTATGCCCCTTATTCAATCTCTCCCCGCCCTGTGGCAGTGACACCGTGCCTGGTTGCAGGAGAAGAGGTCAGTCCCTGGCCCCATCCTTTTTTACATTCTAAGTTGTTGCGGAGCAGTTGAGTGGGAGGGGAAGAGGGGAAGGGGGAAGGAAATAGGGTGAGAAACGAAGGAAGGAGGGGGGGAGGTTGAGGCCCATGGCACTCTCCTCATTTCTGGAGGGGAGACCAGGGGGCTTCCAGTGGTGGTTCAGTGGTTATCTCTGGGCTGGTTGCAGATATTGGGGGTGTGTGGCTGAAGCTCTAGCCCCCCACTGCCCCGGCTCAGGAGCCCGGTGCTTCCTGTGGCAGCTTGGTGGTTGTTGCTGAGCTGGTTGTGGGTGTTGGGAGGCATGGCTGAGGCCCCCAGCCCTCCTCCCTCTCTGGCTTATGGGCCCAGAAGGCTTCTGGTCCTTCCAGGTTTTATAGGTGTTCTTTGGTGAAGTGAGACCTTTACTAGTTAATATCAAACTTTGTC